CTTTTAGCTTTCCAACGAGACCAAGTTGAACGTGAAATACCAAAGTAGGTTGAAATTCCCTGTTTTCGGTGTCTGTCTCCAGACCCGTGGCGCTGTAGCACTGGAAAATACGACTTTAGGGCGCTACTAGCGCTATCAGCACTGGGCCCATGTTGAATCATCACCTTTTTTTTAGAAAATTCATAATTGGAGTTACGGTGCTCCAAATTGAACGTGATTTGAACCTACACGAAGTTAACGAAGAAACCTATAACATACTAGAAGATGAGAATCATAGAGAAAGTATAGAATTCCTAGGGTAACAAAAAAAAGTGAAGACATCTAGTGTTAAACATGAATAAAATAAGTTTAAGCTTTGTTGGTTAATGGGAACCACTTAACACCTTCAAATGTATGTTGTATGGTATTAAGCTACTGCATTCATAATTTCGCTATAAGTTTTGAGTTATGATCACATTTAGTATATTGTCTGATACAGTTATTTTAAAAGATCAACGATATTAAAAAGAAAAAATGTTCCCGTAATTTCAAATAACTGTTGTGATTGTGACTACGCTTAATATCATAATTGATGATAACATACCGGTCTGGTAACGGGGTGTTACAAAACACATAACAGGAACCTTATTTCCATTTGCAACAGTTATAGGTGCAATGCACTGAGTATCAGATATGTCACATAATAGGGTGGAATCATGGCACATATATTATGTGGCACCTGAATCAATAATGAAGGAACTAGGACAAAAATTGGTAAGTGCAGAGGACATACCGTCATGAACAAAGTGACTAGTGTCAGAAGATTTTCCATTGGCACCAAGATTTTTCATTTTTAAGTGAGGGTGCAGAAGCTAGCATTGTTCACGAGAGTGGCCATCTCTGTAGCAATGATCGCAGTGGAATTGATTGCTACCATGACCTTTCCCTCTTCCTTTAGGACCTGAGCTACCCAATTGACATGTAGGTGTTGAATTAAAAGAGGAGGAATTACCTGTATTGGGAAACAGATGCACCTGCACAAACAAGTGGTGTGCAGAGTGGTCGATGCGATCACTAGTAGCAGGCAACACGGGCTTCATGGCTCGACAACGTGTCTCCTAGTAGGGTATCATGCAAGTGAACCCAGAAAAAAAATGAGATAAGTCCACGCTAACACAGATATGCGAACGACAAAGACGCCAAAAAATAAAGGCACAGTGACACAAACAGAGGCACAATCGATGGACACGAACAGGGACGCGACGGGTTGCTAGTCCGACGACGGCACAAGATCTATGAGGGTCTCGAACGGTGTGGTTGGACGGCGCGTGAACAAGTGCAACGAAGAACCACGTGAACAGAGATCCAGATGAGAACCTCAATGGAAAGAAGATGTAGATCCGATGGGAAGCTATATGATAGATGCAATACGCAAACGAAACAAGTGGCGACTACTAGAGAGGGGGCCAATGACGATGTTGCAGGGGCAACGACGCAGTGCAAAAACAAGCCAAATGGTGGTTGCTAGTCGGAACGAGACGAACAGGAACAAGCAGTTCAACGGCCGACAGTGGTTACTGGTCGGAGCAAGCCAGATGGTGGCACGGACAAGCAGTTGATGGCCGAATTATTGGACAAGAATGGCGGCGCTGTTTGATTTAGGAAGAATAGGGAAAAGGAAAATGAGGGTAATATGGGAGGGTGTTTTGGGAAAAAAAGGATTTTTTTATAAGAAAAAAATATTCAAGATAATTTAGGAAGAGAAAGAAAAGAAAAGAAAAATGCAATTTTAACCAGCTCTTGATACCAAATAAAAAAAAAGACACATGAATTTATCATGATTCAGCCATTAAGCCTACGTCTACACTTATAATGTTCCTCCCTGTCTCAGTGATGATCAAGGAGGGGGGTTCTCTTCAATATAAATAATAAATGATATAACAGTTGGACCAAATTATTTTGGTCACAATCAAAGATATCGGGTGATTTGTTGCCCTCTTTATAAAGTATATTTGACACATGATTACAATCAATCAAATCCCCTAATTTACATCCACTAATTTCTCCAACAAAGAGGTAGCGCTCTCGTTAACTTAAACATTGCCAAACCATACGATAGTAACGTACAACAAACAGATACAGTATTTAAAAACCACAAGTTGGAACATAAGGTGATTCATTACCCGTATACTCGAACTGCTAGATTGAATTCTTCAATATAATAACAAAACCAACCATATACTAACATTTGCTTCTATCTAGTTTGAGGGTATGATAGTATGCAACAGACCAATATGAAAGTGCATCAAACACCAGATTCAGCCATCATATTCAAATATTGCAAATTATAGGTTCGCAAGATAAATTGGACAAATGATACTATTGCGTCCATTAAACAGACTTACAATTTTGTTGAGGCTAAAAGATATTAGAATGACTGAGGCTAACACCTTCAGAAGATTCGAGATAGGTATTCATGTCATGCTTTATCTGCATTATCAACTGTAAATTTTCATCTTTAAAAGCAAAGGTAATACAAAATTTTAGAAGAGAAAACATCTAGTAGTGAAGAGATTATTGTGCGAACATAGTAGACTACAGTTAAATGAGATCTCAATTATCAATTGTTTTTCTTTAATCAAAAGCCATCTTGACAAACTATTCATAATGTGGTTCTCAAAATTTAGTTAACAATGCCTTTCCTATAACTTACTCTTCGAACAAATTTCTGCTTAATCTAACCCCTAGTAATATCATTATCTGCTGCTTAAAATTTAAAATTATAAAAAATATGATTGTTTGAACTTTGAACTATCAACTCTGATTGCTAATCATGTAAACTAAATTTTTTCCACTGCAAACTTATGACCCTAAACAGACGTTTTCTAAGTGATAACTCTAAGTAAGAACTTTCAGTGCATATATTATAACCATAAGGAGTAGCATTCTCTTAATAGGGAGTATTGAATGATTTGACTATGAAGATTTTCGGTATGATGGTATAACCACAACGTAGCCCCAAATAACATTTGAACATGAATCCAATTGTAGAGTTTCAGCCCTTCATAACTGTCGCTCCAATGACACGGATTGTGACCCAAATAGTCTTAAGGTCAACAACCCTTGGAGTTTAGACTCCAAACTTTGATTTTGTGCCATTTGGCTTTGATATCCTTTTATGAAATCTCCACAATTTATAGCTCGCAAGTACAGGAAATGCATCATAAATAACAGAACATGCTAGTACATGTTAGGATCCATTTGCAAGGTATGGGACTTAAAATCCCACATTGATTGTACGGGCAACTAATGTAGGGTTTATAAAGCCTTGAGCACTCACACCCTTTGAACTAGCTTTTGGAGTGATACATATCCCAAGATTCTTATTATCATAACACAACAACAATGCACTAGTCCAATATCAAGTAGTTGTAACATTTCCTCAAGTAGTTGGGCTGCTTACCCAAACTTCGAAATTGAATTGTACATTAGAGTGGCAATCCAGTTTATTTCACTTGGCCATGGAAAAAATTGGTTAATGTAACAGAAATTCGTTACCCATTTTTTGTTTCAGTTCATCTCCCTGACAAATCCACCAAATAGGTACTGATATCACACTGATATCATTATCCACATAAGGATAGTATAGTAGATTTACCAAAACTGAATGTGTTTTGATCCAGTTTCTATCAGACTGGGGCGTTTGGTACGCGGTATTCTCCAAGATTCCAGAAAAAACTGAATTTTTTTAAATTTTAAATTTTCGGATATTATCATAAACTGAATGTAAAAATCATATTTCTGAAAATCGAGATTCTCGGATAAAAAAAAATTCTCCTCTACCAAACGCCCAAGTATTTGTGAAATCTGAACTAGTTTAGTTAGTGAATAAACCAAGATTAATGGGTTAAGAAGGATTACAAGAATAATCATCATGCTCTAAGTTACAAGCCCGTTAGAAAATGACTCTGAAGCCCCAAAGAAATGGTGGCCGGATGCACAAGGCTCCCACTACTATAGGGTACAGAAAATCAGATGTACATAACCATACTAACTTGAGCGGAAAAGTTGTTTTTAGGACTTGAAACCATGACCACACGATGTCAACAAATGTACAAAATATAACTATGATTATGTTCCGAAATCAAGCATCAAACTCAAATAACAATTAAGATCTATACGAAGCTTACAAAATATTAAAGTATGAATAAACCCAAGAACAAATTCTTAAGGACAAATTGAACAAAATATAACTGTTTTGTATAAGACATGACTACACATAAGTACACTACATCTTCGTAACCATAAATTGATATATTTAGTTTTTTAGACTTGAAAAGCTAGACAATTTAAACATACTTAGCAAGAAAAATAAAAAAACAGAAGAACCGTGAAAGTGCATGAATTGAGAGGGGAAAAACCGAGAGTATAAAAGATTACAGAGAGAAGAGGACACTTTAATTTTCATTAGGTATCTGTACCAACTACAACCCCAATTACGCCTAAATGAATGAATACTTCTAGTGAACTTTACCCATAAATGTAAAGAACCTTCGGATACACCACCCTAAAAGCTAGCTCAAAGGGTGGGAGTGTCCAAGGTCTTATAAAGGCCATATTAGTTGCCCATCCAATCAATGTGGGACTATATATCTCAACACGCCCCCTCACGGAATTGCACAGGCTCAATTTTTGGTTTATCTTTTTGTGCTTTTTATTTTAATTCCACTTTAAAGTGGGGGACGGTGAGGCTCTGATACCATCTTGGAATTCTGTAAAAATTCATTATGCTAATCTGAATCTTACAAGGAAGGCTTTCACCTTATATACAGTAGGTGATAAGCGTGAAAAATGAAACAGTAACTACCACTAACTATAATTAGCTAACAGAAGCTATAATTAGCTAACAGAAACTAACAGAGGGAATAACTAATGCCAACTCATCTCAAACAGAAATTAGTTGGATCTATTTTCCACGTGTATCTGTACTTTATCCACGTGTATCTGTACTTTATCCACGTGTGCTTCATTCATGTGAAGTGGAGTTACTTGAAATAGAGGATGGTAACAATAAATCTGGTCTGGTAGCCAAAAAAGCCTTTCTGTTCCATTTATTTTACATGGTTTTCAACTAAGTGCGCACTAATGAAACCTGAAAATTGAAGTCATTATATCTCCACTTTATCAAAAGCACCACACGGAAAACCAAAACATTATGAATCAAAGCTTTTGTAGAATCTGTGCGAAAACAGTTAGCTTGCAATTGCAAGGCAAAGGTTATGGAGGTGAAAGGTTTAAGCGAAAATGTAGCTATTAAGAGGTGCTACCATTGCACAAATCACAAATGAGAAAATGGGAGTGAGTGATAATTATACAATGCATTAATGTTTCAACGCAAAATGTTAGGTTTAATGTTTCCAAGGCCATAGCAATTAGTAAAAAAACTCGTTAAGTTGAATATTTTAGAAGGCAACAAATGAGGTGTGTGCAAGAATATGCTGACATGCTTAGAAATGAAAAATCACACAACCAAGAATTAAGAAAGAAGAAAAGTTGCTAACATTAATAGCACAATGGGATGGCATTTGAGGGGCTAATATTATTATTTAAAATTGCTGACATGTTAATTCCATAGCCCTGTGCTTCAAATTTTATAAATTATAAATAGATGTGTTCATATGCGCTTTCTCCTTCTTTAAATAACTAGATGGCGGATATTGTGCACAAATAATCATACCTGAAAAGCAGCATATCTATATAAGCTTAGCTGATTCATTCCTCCTCAGTAGAGTAACGTGATATTCCTGAAATCAATTACACTAACAAGTAACAACTTGATTCAAAAGATTATCCAAAAGATTATCCTTGTAAGGATTGCAAACAATGAAAAATAATGACCCCTCTTCAATCTAAACGAAGTAAAATACCACGGAGTGGAAAACACACCAGATAATTTGGGGAGAAAAACAAGAGAAGAGGAAAGAAAACGAGAATGTTATTCTCCTAATGTCCTTAAATTTAAACAATTTTGGAATCAACTCAAAGCTCAGAGGAGGATTTTATCTCCTCAGTTAAAGCAAAACATTTGATAGGTGGCAGTTGAATGTTTAAACATCCTCTTTTACTTATACGGATTCTGAAATATTCAAGGATTTCAAACTTTTTTACTGCATTCAGTTATAAACAAGCAAGATACAAGTTTATTAAATAAGTCTCTCTAAGTAGAAAACAATTTGGTCTCCTTATACTGTTCCAGATAAATTGGCAGGAAGTTCATGATACTCAATAGTTGAGAAGTATTAAGTATAATCATTAAGACAATTTCACTTGTCATTTAAAATTTTGAAGTGCTTGCCTTATTTTACAACAAAATTAATCACAATAATATCAGAATCAAGATCCGGGGAGAAATTTTTCATACAGGCAGGAAAAAAAGAAAGAATAAGTGGTCATTTATTTTTCTAATACATTACATATCCCAAGTTTCAGCCTATTGTAAGGCATCTTAAACCATTAGTCCTTAGGCCTAATAGGGAGTTTAGAAGGCTGGTTAAAGAGTACAAAAAAAAATAATGAATGCTGCCACTAGCAAGGCCTAAGAAAGAAGGGGGGGGAAAAAGGAACAACTAAAGTAACGAAACTGCAGCTAATTTGTATTTCCAAGAACACTAAATCACATATGCAGTAACATTAGGCAAAGATCATACCATTTCAACTCATTATTAGAGCTATGTAATCAATTTATAATTTTAATGTTCACAAATAGTGCATATTATTATGAGAACTGGAATAAAGAAAAATGCCAGACTGTTTTTTACCAAATTATTGTAAAGTTACAGGCAGCACAACCTTTAAAAAAGAGACAATAGGGAGAAAGCTAATATGTAAGTCTTTCAAACTTGAATTGTGATACACTTCCGTCCTATTGAATCTATTTACATCAGGCAAGGTAGCATTAGCCATCAAATCACTCAAAACCTGCACTGCACACCACAGAGTTCAACTCCAACAATAAAGAAGAAAAAGAAGAATAAAGGGGAGAACAAGCTAAGGCCTAATAGAAAGTAGATTATGAAAAACACTGGATGTAAGAGATAGAGCATTGACATCTACCGTCTTTCCCAGCATGTTACTTAATAAAATATGACCTGTAAAAACCAATTCAACCTAAAAGTTTAAGCTGTTGGGAGAGGCTATATTAATGGTTTTATACATCTCTAACATGTCCCCTCACAAGAGTGCCCATTGGACTTGAAAGGTGAATGATGCATCAGGCTCAGCCTACCTATGCTAAGAAATTCCACAAAGAAAATGGGGGCTAACGAGGATCGAACTCGTGACACTGATGCTCTGATACCATGTAAAGAACTAATTCAACCCAAAAGCTTAAGTTGTTGGGAGAGGTTACATTAATGATTTTATATATCTCTAACATGAACAAAAGTCCCTTTACCCAAGAAAACTACAACTCAAAAGTCAAAATGTTGAGAAAGAAAGCGAAAGCCGAAGAAACTCAAAGCTCAATTTAGCACTGAAATAGAATAGTTAGAAGTTAAGATAATGGCCTGCAAAATCCTTCAAAGACTATATTACATTCTGATGATCAATCAAACCTTTGTAGACATCTGGTAAAAGAGGCACATCTTCCTGAAAATTGATGACAAATCTCTTCAAAAACTTTTCCTCAGTTCGGCACATAAAGGAGCTTAATTGCAAATTATTCTCAACCAAACATTTTAATTTCAAGATTTTAATCACTGAGAGTCTAGGAGTAATCCTCTTCTCCAAGCTGTAGGATAGAACTGAAGGATATTTGGCAATATCTTCTGATGGCCAAACCATATTCTTCACTATGAAACTCATTTTTTTGGTAATTGTCTCCTCTGACAGCTTCATAAAATTGGGAAATTTTCTAAATGCTCCAAGAGTCATTTCACGGTTCCAGCCCCATCTCTCATAAACCTCAAATCTCGATTCCCACGCTGCTTTACTCATAGTTAAAAGCACTTGGACAGCCATTACAAAAGTTCTTTTCAAAGGATTACACCCAATATCCTTAACAGTCTTCACAGCTTCCACAAATTTGGAATGCTTTGCATATGCTGCACTCGGAAAATTGACTATAAGCAGAGAGATGGAAGCTTGTGGCACGCTACATTGTCTCAGAACCTTAATGTTTGGAATAAAATCATTCATTAAGTACGAAAATGTAAAATTACGTGGGGAATTTCTCAAAGCTCTAACAACTTCCCAATCATCACGAACTACACTTCTGATGATCTCATAACGTGGAATAAGGCATTTCTTCAAGCTACTTGTCAAGAGGTTGTAGTTACAAATCAGGATCTTTGGCATGTCATTGGTGGAAACCCCAATAGAATGGAAGAACTTGAGTTTAGGCAAAAGTGTAGTCCCTGCTTTTGAAACAAGCACCAATGGACATTTCCCGACAAGTTTTGTAATCTGGGCTTTAGAAAACCCATAGTTCCTGAGAAGATCAAGAACAACATTTGGGCCATCTGGGTTTTTCAAATTCACCCTTCTGGAACGCTCCCTAGCCAATTCTGGGGACAACCCACATGAGTTTATGAGGTAAGATATGGTAAAGGTGTCACCTTTTTGGGGGTTTCTATCTGATTCACAATCAGAAGAGGTGCGTGAAGTGAATGAATTGAAGAAAGAATGACAAGCATTGTGTTGAAGCAGATAACCCAATTGCGTTTGGGTACTCTTGGAGTATGTAAATGATGATGCAGTTAATCTTGAAATAAGAAAATTAGGTATCATTTACTCACTCACCGATTTCAATGCACAATGCACGTTGTTGAGAGCTGCAGAATTTGAACGTTAGAACAGCTACTTTCAGGGGTAAGGAAGAATTGAGGAAATAATGGGAAAGATGGACTTTGCAACTCTGTTTTTAGAGTGAACTTTTACCAATCCATCAAAAAATCGGAGATCTCAAGTATTTTCACAAACTAGGCAAAACATATAGATGTCTTAACGCTTTTTTTGCTTTTTATACGCTCGTCTGACATATTTTATTTATCTTTACGATGTTATTTAATTCTTATTCTTATTTTTATTTTTTAATACTAAAAAATAACTATTTTAGTATGTAGATTTTAAAAAATTACATGAAATAAAAAAAAATACTTCAATTGACCCCTCGAATCAAAAGACCTTTCAAAGTTTTATAACAAATTTGAGCCAAGTAATCAATTACATCAAAAAGACAACAGTTAAGTGTAAACTTTTAGTAAAAAGTCAAATTTGTAAATAGCATAAAAATAGGCACATATTGCCAACTTTTATTTTAAAAAAAGTTCAAAAAGCCGATATCTTAACCAACTAATGATTATAATTTTTTTTAATTGTAAACTATACATTATATTTTAATAGAGTCAAACACAAAATACAAAATGAATTTATTTAATTTACATGAAGTAATTATTAAACCATCATTTTTTAAAGAATATGAATTCTAAGTTTTCCCTCTCAATAAATTCTCTCTGCGCCTTCTTTCTAAGCCTTCTTTCTAAGAGTTCAATTTCAAGTAAGTATCTATTACTCATTTATTATTTTATTTTATTTTATTTAACTTGTAGGAATGTAATTATTATATTTGGGTATAAATATTGTAAATTATGTAGTGACATTAAGGTAGTAAATAATATGTTAACATTCAGAGTTATGGAGTGTACCGACGTGCAAAATGTGAACATTGTCACTTATATGTTACTGGGCGATGCAGACGAGTGGGGCCATGATTCTAAGAGACTTCTAAAGCAGCAGGGCTAACAAATCACATGGCAAATATTTGATCGGATACTCTTAGGGGGTGTTTGGTTCAAGTTTTTGGAGAGGATTACCAGTAATTCTTCTTTGGTAAATGTAATTATCACGTTTGATAGAAGGAATAAATTACGATTCCCGGATATCTAAGGATTACCGGTAATTTAATTTATAAAGAAAAATCACTATTCAGATTACCAAAAATAATATGGTAATTCGGAATACCAATCAAAATACCAAGTAAAGGGAAAGCACAACAATAAATTTTGAGACAAAAATACCCCAATACACATAAAAATCTAGACACAATCTATCAATTACAGAAGTAAAAATAGTTTGGGGTTATTTTTGTAAAATAACCTCATATTCCAAGTTATATTTCGTTCTAAACCAAATATGGAATCAGTAATTTTTACCCAATATTCCCGGTAATATTTTGGCGAACCAAACACATCTTTTGTAAGATTCCAAGTAAACTCAATTTCTACTGAATTCTCATTAATCATGGTTCCTGGTCACCAAAAAATTTCTCTTGTACCAAATACACCCTAGAGAAGTACTATCCTAGAGACGAGAGTGAGAAAAAGACAAGGGAATTCCTAATATTGCAGCAAGGCGACATGACCGTAGATGAGTACGTAGCGAAATTTTAAGAGCTCGCCAAGTTTGTCTTCTATGGCATATGATAGTTTGATGATGAATGGCTACCAAGTACAAGCAAGGTCTGCAGCTAGATCTAGCTCAGGCGGTGGTCGGATATGTGATTAGGAACCTGTAAACCCTTATCAACTAATGCTAGGTGATTGAGATTGTGATGCAGAGAACCAAGACTGCGGCTTTGAGCAAAGAACACAATGTCAGGAGAAGACGAAAGCTATGGTAGGTAGGTAGGAGCTTTAAGCAGCAGATTTAGGAATTTTTTTTTGGGGAAGGAGGAGAATGTAAGAACCCTGCACCGTTAATTAAGGAAGATAATTAATTAATTATGTGAAATTAAGAAATAATTCTATAATTGACCTTAATAATTATTATGAGGCTTTAATAATTATTGTAAGTGAGTAATAATGCTGGAAGTCAGCAAGAAAAGTGCAGATATTGGTCCTGTTACTCGGTATAAATGTGTACCGATGAAGTATCCCGAAAAATAATAATAAGTGTATTAATATTCCTAGAATATTACAGAGGACTTGTAAAACAAGTTTCAAGTCAAAATAATGAGAACTGGTGCCATAACTGATACTAGCTATGAAAAAGCGCGTACCAGAAATGTGCTGCGAAAAATTTAATAAAAATATGATAAATCTTGTAAAATTGAGTAGGTTCAGAATCCTAAGTTTGGGATTAAAATACTAAGCGTAGCTTTTAATGCTAATATTGTGTGTTTAATTCTTAAGTGGCTATATATAGCCTTGGCACATGATCCTAGGGCAATCCCTTGCGCCTTATGCATGAGTTTCTGATTTCTCCAGCAGTTGAGTGCCTCTCTTCTTGTCACCTTCACCTTCTCTCACTCTCTTGAGCCAAAGGTGCCACTTTTACTCTTGGTTTCTCTACCAAAACATCATAGCCTTGTAAGGTTGAGTCTTGTGAAGGTGTGGGAGTGTTCCTTTTCTGAGTTTGGCCTGTGTGAGTGTTGGTTAAGGGCTGACTTGTTAGTTTGAGGTTGTGGGAGCTTGGTGATGGCATTTGAGGTCTAAGGGGTGACCTTTGTGAAGAGAGAACTCATCCTTGTGTGCCATTTTCGTGCACCTTCAAAGTCAGAATCTTTGGAGCTGATTGTGTGCTCCAAGAGCAGCCTTTGCTTCTATTTTGGAGCCTTGGGTATGTACCTCAACTTGATCATGAGTTTTAATGGGTAAAAGTGGAGTCTTGCCATGTTTAATGAGTTAAACAAGTATGTAATCCGTATATGAACATAAAAGAGGTTAAAAATGCATGCTTTAACGTTGGAATGGCTTAAAAACCCAACCTTGGATGGATATCTTCGCGAAATGCAGAAACTGTATTCTGTCGCGAAATATCCGGATATGCATATCCGGATATTGATATTCTAATATTGGCAGAGAGATATCCGGATATTGATATCCGGATATGCCGTCGACAAAAATTCAGATATTCTGGGTTTTCGAAAAACAGTAGCATACTGTTCATACAGAACTGATGTATGAGTTTGTGGACCCTAGTTTGTGGAAGTTGAACTTCTGTATTAATTAACTAAGTCTGAATCAATGTGATTAAGGGCTTGTGGCTTTGTGAGAAGCCTTAAGACGTGAAACGTAAGGGAAGGCGTTGTCTTGATGTTGTATGCTTGTAGAGTATGATTATTGATGTGATAATTGGTCCATAACAGATTGTGATTCTGCTGTGTTTGGGCGTTGAGCTTGTGTGGACTCTTGGATTGGATAGTAGCTTAAGAGGTAAGCTTTTGTGTCCTCAGTTTAGCCATTGTTGGTTCCACCATTTTCCATGGGGGGATGGTTGCATGCATGATGTGTTTCCATGTACTGTTTTATTGAAATGTTAATGAGTTGTTAAGCGCAATTGATATGATATGTATGTGGCGTTACGCCTACAGGAGGCCAAAGGGTGGTCCTGTGGGCGGGTACAACAAGGGCTAGTACTGTATGGGTTTAAATGGATTCCTGCACTTCTCTGATCAGTAGAATTGTTAGAACACACATGACATGATTATCTGCTATACTGCACTATTTTGAGAACTTATACTGTTAACTGCCTTTGAACTTATATTGCACATGTAAGTGAGCTTGGGGTGGAAGATCCTTGAGGACCTCTTGTCTTACTGAGATTTCTTGTTTAGAGATCTCACCCCACGTTTGGGGACGCTTATTTCAGGTTCAGGTAACTCGGGGGTTGAGACCTCGGGCGGCAGGAGGCCGGAGCTGAGTTAGATTATGTTGTTATCATGTTATTATGTTGTATGCTGACATGATGTGGACTTGGTTGCTGTTTATGTTTTCTGTCATTTATGATTTTCTGAGTTGAGACTGCTGTTGGGCTTGTGCCTTATTTGGTGAGCATGGGGTTTGTCCATGCCACTTTGATTTCCGTTTTCTTTTACTTTACCTGTGTTGTATAAATTATCAGGTTGTCCGGTCTACGTGTTGTAGTTCCGTGACTAGAGACTTATTCATGATATTAATTAATGAGGTTTTTCAGTTAGCGATCTTTTGCAATATTCATACAGGCGATGTTTTTATTTAAATGATTAAGTAATCAACTTGGCTAAGTATAATGACTTCATAATTGAAAAGAAAAAGATATTCCGCATTTTTAAATTAAGCATGGCTTAATACGATGACATGTTAACAAACCGGGTTAACACGGGGTGTTACAGGGGACAAGATTTACTTCATGGTTGACCGTATCAGATTTTGTTGACCTATCCAATACGACAATATCAGTATCGAGCACGTATTCGTATCGGACGTGTGGTTAGAGAGTATACCATGGGAGGGGGGACATGGTGGAAATACGTGTGGTTAGAGAGTATACCATGGGAAGGGGGTCATGGTGGAAATTAAGGTTAATCCCAAGCTGCCAAGAAGTTCGGTAAGGCATGGAAAAAGAGAACAAAAGAATATTATATTGAATTGGGATATTTGACAACTGAGTTAACAAAAGTTAACGCTCTGTTTGATTTCTGTTCTTCCGAATAGTTTTTAAATTTTAAAAACAATAAAACAAAAAAAGTTGTTTGGAAAAAGTGTTTTCATGTTATCTGTTTTCAAAACAGTCTCTGCATTTTTGTTTTAAAAACCAAAAAAGCAAAACTAACTAAGGGATGTTTTCAAAAGTTGTTTTTTTTTTGTTTACTTGTTTTTGCAGTGGCATTTTTGTAAATACTAGGATTCATTAATGACATTTTTGTAATTAAATCGATTTTAATTTTAATTTTCAATTACTTTGCAGTGGCAATCTTGTAAATATGAGGATTCATTAATGGTATTTTTGTAAATAACTACAACTTCTTTATAACTTTAAAACTAATTATATTCAAACAAGTTTTATTATTTTTTTACTCTCAAAATCAGTTTTCAAAATTTATCCTCAAAACAATTTTTAAAAACAAAAATAACAAAAACACATTCAAACACACTCTAAAGCATCGTCGTCAGCTATTTCAGAAGTGCTACAAAAAAATTTCAGTAGTATTCCAAATTCCAGCAAGCTTGCCCACAAGTAGACAATGTGACCATCAAATTTTGTTGAAAGAAGGAGCAAATATGCCAATGACAGTTCTTATGCCTCAAGCACAACGAGATCAGTATGCTTCAAACAATGAGAACCGGGTGAAAGTTTTCTCACATTACCTGTCCTCTTTCTTCACCTTGAGGACAAGTTGAATTATGCTAATTGTTGTTTGTAATTCGGGAATATGATGGGGAATTATGAGAGGAAATAGAGAAGCTCAAGGCTAGGTAGTTGTCTTGGAATAGAGTTTTTCCTCTTGTTCTTTCTATGTTGTTATTGCTTTTCTGCATTTAATCTTTGTAAGGAGTTTGTCTCCGTTATTATACTTAATATAATTTTCTGGTTCCATCAATAATTGTCGTTCCAATGACAAGGATTGTGACCCAAATAGTCGTAAGATCAACAGCCCTAGGAGTTTAACAGAACATGCTAGTAACACAACAATAATGCACTAGTCCAATATCAAGTAGCTGTAACATTTTCTCAGGTAGTTGGGCTGCTTACCTAAACTCTGAAATTGAATTGTATATTAGAGTGGCAATCCAGTTTATTTCACTTACCAAAACTGAATGTGTTTTGATCCAATTTCTATCAGCTTCCCAACCCCAAAAGTATTTGGGAAATCTGAACTAGTTAAGTTAGTGTATAAACCAAGATTAATAGGTTAAGAAGGATTACAAGAATAATCACCATGCTCTAAGCTATAAGCCCGTTAAAAAATGACTCTGAAGCCCCAAAGAAATGGTGGCCGAATGCACAAGGCTCCCACTACTATAGGGTATAGAGAATCAGATATATGTAACCTTACTCACTTCAGAGGACATGTTGTTTTAGGGACTTGAACCCATGACCACACAATGTCACCAGATGTCACCAAATGTACAAAATAAAACTATGATTATATTCCGAAATCAAGCATCAAGCTCAAGTAACAATTAAGATCTATATGAAGCTCACAAAATATTAAAGTATGAATAAGCCCAAGAACAAATTCTTAAGGACAAATTGAACAAAATATAACTGTTTTGTATAAGACATACCTACACATAAGTACACTACATCTTTGTATCCATAAATTGATATATTTAGTTTTTTAGACTTGAAAAGCTATACAATTTAAACATACTTAGCAAGAAGAAGAAAAAATACAAGAACCATGAAAGTGCGTGAATTGAGAGGGGAAAAACCAAGAGTATAAAAGATTACAGAGAGAAGTGGACGCTTTAATTTTCATCAGGTATCTGTACCAACTACACCCGCAATTACGCCTAAATGAATGAATACTTCTAGTGAACTTTACCCATAAATCTGGTCTGGTAGCCAAAAAAGCCTTTCTTTTCCATTTATTTACATGTTCTTCAAGTAAGTGTGCAGTAATGAAACCTAAAAATTGAAATTATTATATCTCCACCAAATCAAAAGCACCACATAGAAAACCCAAAACATTATGAATCAAAGCTGTTGTAGAATCTGTGCGAAAATATAAAGTATAAACATTAAGACAATTCACTTGTCATTAAATTTAAAATTTTGATGTGCTTGCCTTATGTTAGAGTATAATATAAACCATTAAAGAGGCCATCACCAAATAGCTTAAGCTTTTGGGTTGGATTGATTTTTTACATGGTATCAAAGCCTCGTGTTCCGGGTTCGATCCTCGCTTCAAACCCAAAGAGCTCTTGTGTGAAGGGTGTGTTAGAGAATAATAGAAACCATTAAAAAAACCCTCACTCAATGCCTTAAGGTTTTGGGTTGAACTGGTTCTTTACATGGTATCAAAGCCTTAGTGGCCACAAGGTAACGAGTTCGATTCTCACCGCCCTCCACTTTCTAGTGGAATTAAAAAAAGCACAAGGTAAACAAAAATTTGGGCCTGTATAATATCCACGCTTCAAGCCCAAAGGGCTCTTGCATGAGGGGGTGTGTTAGAGAATAATATAAACCATTAAAAAGGCTCTGACCCAATACCTTAAGATTTTGGGTTGAAATGGTTCTTTACATGGTATCAGAGTCTCGTGTTCCGGGTTCGATCCTAGCCACCACCCATTTTCTTTATGGAATTTCTTAGCACAGGTAGGTTGGATCTGATGCATCATCCACCTTTCAAGCCCAATGGGCTCTCTTGTGAGGGAGCGTATTAGAGTATAATATAAAATATTAAAGAGGCCCTCACCTAATAGCTTAAGCTTTTGGGTTGAATTGGTTCTTTACACCTTATTTTACAACAAAATTAATCACATTAATAAAATCAGAATCAAGATCTGGTGAGAAATTTTGTATACAGGCAGGAAAAAAAAATACAATAAGAGGTATTTATTTTTCTAATACATTACATATCCCAAATTTCAGCCTTTTGTAAGGCATCTTAAACCATTAGGCCTTAGGCCTAATAGGGAGTATAGAAGGTTGGTTAAAGAGTACAAAAAAATATTAGCGAATGTTGCCACTAGAAAGGCCTACGAAAGATGGAAAAAAAACAAAGGAACAACTGAAGTAATGAAACTGCAGCTAATTTGTATTCCAATAAAACTAAATCATATATGCAGCAACATTAGGCAAAGATCATACCATTTCAACTCATTATTAGAGCTATGTAATCAATTTATAATTTTAATGTTCACAAATAGTGCATATTATTATGAGAATTGGCATAAAGAAGAATACCAGACTGTTTTTTACCAAATTATTGTAAAGTTACAGGCAGCACAACTTCTTTAAAAAAAGAATCTATTTATATCAGGAAAGGTAGCATTAGCCATCATATCACTCAAAACCTGCACTGCACACCACAGACTTCAACTCCAACAATAAAGAAGAAAAAGAAGAATAAAGAGGAGAACAAGCTAAGCCCTAATGGAAAGTAGAGTATGAAAAAAACTAGTATTGACATCTACCCGTCTTTCCCAGCATGTTACTTTATAAAATATGACCAAAAGTCCCTGTACCCAAGAAAACTATAACTCAAAAGTCGAAATGTTGACACAGAAAGTGAAAGCTGAAGAAACTCAAAGCTCAATTTAGCACAGAAATAGATAGTAAGAAGTTAGGATAGTAGCCTGCAAAATCCTTCAAAGACTATATTACATTCTGATGATCAATCAAACCTTTGTAGACATCTGGTAAAAGAGGCACATCTTCCTGAAAATTGATGACGAATTTCTTCAGAAACTTTTCCTCAGTTTGGCACATAAAGGAGCCTAAATGCAAATTATTCTCAACCAAACATTTTGATTTCAAGATTTTAATCACTGAGAGTCTAGGGATAATCCTCTTCTCCAAGCTGTAGGATAGAACTGTAGGATATTTGACAATATCTTCTGATGGCCAAACCATATCCTTCACTATGAAACTCATTTTTTTGGTAATTGTCTCCTCTGAACACTTCATAAAACTGGGAAATTTTCTAAATGCTCCAAGAGTGATTTCACGGTTCCAGCCCCATCTCTCATAAACCTCAAATCTCGATTCCCACGTTGCTTTTCTCATACTTAAAATCACTTGGACAGCCATGACAAAAGTTGTTTGCAAAGGATTACACCCGATTTCCTTAACTGTCTTGACAGCTTCCACAAATTTGGAATGCTTTGCATATGCTGCACTTGGAAAATTGACTATAAGCAGAGAGATGGAAGCTTGTGGCACACTACATTGTCTCAAAACCTTAATGTTTGGAATCAAATCATTCATTATGTCAGAAAATGTAAAATTAAGTGGGGAATTTTTCAAAGCTCTAACAACTTCCCGATCATCACGAACTACACTTCTGATGATCTCATAACGTGGAATAAGGCATTTCTTCAAGCTACTCGCCAAGAGGTGGTAGTTACCAATCAGGATCTTTGGCATTTCTCTGGTGGAAACCCCAATAGAATGGAAGAACTTGAGTTTAGGCAAAAGTGTAGTCTCTGCTTTTGAAACAAGCACCAATGGACATTTCTCCACAAGTTTTGTAATTTGGGCTTTAGAAAACCCATAGTTCCTGAGAAGATCAAGAACAACATTTGGGCCATCTGGGTTTTTCAAATTCACCCTTTGGGAGAGCTCCTTAGCCAATTGTGGGGACAACCCACATGTGTTTATGAGGTAACACGTGGTAAAGGTGTCACCTTTGGGGTGGTTTCTATCTGATTCAGTATCAGAAGAGGTGCGTGAAGTGAATGAATTGAAGAAACAAAGGAAAGCATTGTGTTGTAGCAGAGAACCCAATTGCGTTTGAGTACTCTTGGAGTATGTGAATGATGAAGCAGTTAATCTTGAAATGAGAAAATTAGGAACCATTTACTCACCGATTTCAATGCACGATGCACGTTGTTGAGTGCTGCAGAATTCGAACCCAAGAACAGCAACTCTGCGTTTTGGCCAATTGCCACCACACTGCATATTACGAGTGAACTTCACGCACACACATATATGTCATAAAAATATTTCTCAAGGTGGATGACATATATTTATCTGCGATTATCTTAAAATATATATCGTTTTATTTATTTTATTTTATTTTTAATGGTTATGATTTTTTTTTTTCTCTCTTTCTTTATTTGTACGGTTATGACTTAGTGGCCAGAGATAAAATCATCTCAAACAGTTTGAGAAACGATAAGTCTTATTTATTTATATATATATGAGGTATAATCTTTTGACACTGTCGTTAGATCAAAAAAGATCAATGGTGTTACATGCTTACAAATCAGAATAGTTCATCTTTTTTGATCTAACGGTTCTAAGATGAGATGTCAAATTTTAAATTTAACACTGTTGTCAATGGATCTTACCTCATATATATATATATATATATATATATATATATATATATATATATATATATATATATATATATATGGTCAAGATCATTTTACACCAGTGTAAGTTACACTCTCAATTTTGTCCATTGATTTCACTTATATCTAAGGGCTCTAACTTTTTGGTAATGTGAGCTATTGGATACAAGTGGATCAATAGTCAAGATTGAGTGTAAAACTTCTAACTCTTACACCGGTGTAAGAATATCTACCCCATATATATATATATATAAAAGGTAGGTTATACTTACAACCTTTTTTTTTACAACCTCTTACAACCATATCTTAACCCCGTTGATTTCCGCCAATCACCGGTTATGATTTTCGACAATTGAACTCATTAATTAATTATTAATTCACAATAAATAATAACCGTTGATTGGCGAAAATCAACGATGTTAAGATATAGTTGTAAGAAGTTGTAAAAGAAAAGGTTGTAAGTATAACATTCCTCTCTCTCTCTCTCTATATATATATATATATATATATATATATATATATATATATATATATATATATATATTGTTTCCCGTATGTGGGGTCCATGTAGGGTAATGTGAAGAAAAGAGAGGGAAAAAAACATGGACTCCACACACTTTTATATATGTATAGGAAATAATTTTATCTTCTACAATATGATAAACATCAAAGTCACACACACACACACACACACACACATATATATATATAAGGAGGGATCTTTTGACTCCAGTATAAAATTTGCAAGGCTTTCTTCCTCATCTCATCTGTTAATTTTCGTCCATCTAACGATCTTTTGACTCCAGTATAAGACTTGTAAGCCTTGCTCCTCATCTCATCTGTTGATTTTCGTCCATCTAACAATTATAGTTTATTTGAAGTTAAAAATTAATTAATTGGTATAAATCAATAAACTAAAATTGTTAGATGGACTGAAATCAACGGTTAAGATAAGGAGAAAGACTTGTGAACTTTACACCGAAGTTAAAAAATCTCTCCTATATATATATATATATATATATATATATATATATAGAGAGAGAGAGAAAGGGGGGAGGGATATTCTCAATACAAAATTTTTTTACTACCAACTTACTATATATCTAATCACCATTAGATTAACACTTTCTCTCTCTTTAAAACTTTTTAACATTCTCTCTCTTTGATCAAATGGTGATGTGATGGGTAGTAAGTTAGTAGTGAAATTTTTTGGTAGTTAGAATATCCTCACTATATATATATATATATATATATATATATATATATATATATATATATATATATATTATTTTACACAAATTATGTAGTGTAAGCCTACCAGTGAAGAATGCTTTCACCAATAAAGTTTATATTTTTGGGAAAAGTTGAAATAGCCTTTGTAGTTTGCTTTTGAATCACTTATATTCTTCTTCTTCTTTTTTATCATTTGTCTTCTTATGCTTTTTTTCATCCAAATCCATTCTCAATAGTATTAGAAATTTAATCGGTATGTTTATTTTACCCTTCTTATCGTTAAATGTACTTAGATGGAAAAGAGTGAGAAAATGCATGAAAGTGAAAGGGAGTCCATCATAATCTGACTATCGAGATTCGAGAATGAAATTAGTTAGTTACACATTGAGCTTCTATATAAAGAGCAAAATGTCTCATTCTTGGAATGGTGTTAGGTCTCTCAAAGTTAGAGAGAACGTTTCTGAGAACAAAACAGAACAATGAACAACTTTTTTATTGAATGCTGAATCAGTTTACAATTTGGGTATTTATGCAACACCTGTACATTTGTAATATTACTCTATGCCACATGTATTACAAATGTCATATTCTCCTGTTCCTATTTACAACACATATTAACTGATATCTATTAATACAATGACTCCTAACAATAGAAGTCTCTCAGCCTCGAAGAAGGAATTCTTGGTCTACAGGTTCTGCTTGCTGTGGACTCTCTTCCTCTAACATACCTCCCCTCCTCAACCACAACCTTGTCCTCAAGGTTCAGATCCGGGTAAGCACTACGCATAAATTCTTCCCTCTCCCAAAAAGCATCTTCCAGAGGAGCATCAGACCATTGCACAAGATACTCACGTTTTTCCTGATGTCCCACTTTGGTCATCTTGCTGTCTAAGATAGCAATTGGCAGTTGGAGTGGTCGATTATCTACCATAAATTGAGGCACAAAAACAGGTTGCTCTGGTGGTGGTCCAAACCAAGGTTTCAACAAAGATATATGAAATGTAGAATGGATTTTACAGCCCTCTGGCAATTCAAGTTGGTAAGCTACTGCACTAATCACTTTGATGATTTTAAATGGACCAAAAAATTTCTTGGATAGCTTATGATTGCAACGACGCTCTACTGACACCTGTCTATAGGGTTGGAGTTTACCCAAACAAAATCACCCACTGCAAACACCTTGTCATGTCTGTGCTTATCTGCTTGTAATTTCATTCTCTTTCTTGCTTGCTGCAGATTTTTCTTCAAACTTTGTAACACGGCATTGCGTTGATCTAACAAAGTATCCACAACTTCGACTTTAACTAAACCTTTCGGATAAAAAGGAATTTGGGAAGGAAGCTTGCCATATAAAGCCTGGAATGGGGACATCCCAATGGCAGAATGCACTGCTGTATTATAATGCAATTGTGCCCATCCTAGCAACCTGGACCACTCATGAGGTTTATCAGTACAAAACAGCCTCAAATATTGCTCGACATAACTGTTAGTCACTTCTGTTTGGCCATCAGTTTGGGGGTGATAGGAGGTGCTAGCCTTCGATGTAGTCCCACTATTCTTGAAGATGGCTGACCAAAATTGGCTCAGAAATATCCTGTCTCTGTCAGAAATGAGAGATCTTGGAAAACCATGATTTCGGACTACCAAATCACAAAATAAATTGGCCACTTTTGCAGCAGTGAAAGATGTAGGAAAAGCACCAAAATAAGCATATTTGCTCAGCCTGTCAACAATGACCAAAATTGTTGTCAAACCGTTTGAAAGTGGTAATCCCACAATGAAGTCTAAAGTCAACTCTTCAAAGACTCCTTCCGGTATTGGCAATGGCTGTAATAAACCAAAGGGAGCTTGTGTCATAGTCTTCATTTGTTGACAAAGTTGACAAGCTCTAACATATTCTTTAACATCTTTGCGCATTGAGTCCCAATAGAATGATGCAGCTACCCGAAGCAATGATCTAAGCACTCCAGCATGCCCTCCTACTAAAGAATCATGAGCTTCCCGAATGACTACTGGAATGAGATTAGATGTAGAGCTCAGTAACATGCTCCTAGGCCCCTTTCCCGTCGCCGATAGGTTTGTTTCCATTATGGTCTTCTCCTTCGCATGCAATGCCCCAATCGATTCATTCAATTGTTGCATCTGTGCGATCACCAAAGCGATTTGACTCTGTGACTCACCAAATCGATGTTGTAGTGACGACACTTCTTCCGCCAGTTCTTGAATCTTCATGATCAAGAGCTCACAAGATGAAAGCACCAATGTTAGGTCTCTCAAAGTTAGAGAGAACGTTTCTGAGAACAAAACAGAACAATGAACAACTTTTTTATTGAATGCTGAATCAGTTTACAATTTGGGTATTTATGCAACACCTATACATCTGTAATATTACTCTATGCCACGTGTATTACAAATGTCATATTCTTCTATTCCTATTTACAACATATATTAACTGATAACTATTAATACAATGACTTCTAACAATAGAAGTCTCTCAGCCTCGAAGAAGGAATTCTTGGTCTACAGGTTCTGCTTGCTGTGGACTCTCTTCCTCTAACAAATGGGTACAACAGATGCTCTTGCCAAAATCTGGGATGTAAAAAGTCAAGTATAATTTTTTATTTGAATTTTAATATTCAATTTCATTCCTAGAGTATGTGTGTGTGTGTTTTTTTTTTTGGTAGTTGAGAGTATGTGTTTTCACCTCCTCTTCGCTGTAGGTAAATGTTGCTAAGTTTGATGGACATGTAGGGCCAGTGACTGCTATATCCTTTTCTGAGAATGGATACCTCTTTGCGGTCTGAGAGAAAATGTAATCAGTAAAAGTAGGATGGTTATTTATATAGTTTTTTTATTGTACTCTTAAATTTGACATACTGCAGTTAATGATAATGTAAAGCTTTGGGATTTCGTAAATAGAAAAATTTTCGGAACTTTACTCCATATGACTCAGAAACTCCAACAAACTGTGGTATTCATTTTGACTTTTAGTTTATGGTCCTATTATATACATGGTAAGAAATTATAGCTATTTCTAAAGGTCTTCATCAAATTCTCTGTATCTTACGGTGGAGTTCGACCATAATGGATCCTACTTTGCAGTTGTTGGCTATGATATTAGGTGAGGAATACCGTCTTGTACTGGATTTCGTGATGGTTTCAAGATGTTCCAGCAAAAATCTTCTCACGCTTGTCATTTGTCAACCCCTTCCATTAGTTTTTTTTAAGCAGATTCCCAGTGCCTGTTAATTTATGCAGGATTAGCCAAGTTGCTAGTGTGAAAAATGAATGGAGAAGTATTGATTAAGTTACACCGTTAAGGATTGACTTGAATGAAAAAAAACATAGGGGATA